ACGTGGTGCTGAAAGCTGTGAGTAGCAAGCACATGTGGGAAAGGTGGGCTGAAATATGTTGGACAAATTGGACTTCGCAAGCTCTGCCTGCTAAGCTCTTCAGATGGTCTAATTGAACCTGACATGGCTTTACATCTGCGGCTTCCTCTCTGGCTCGGCCTCTATTTGTCTTCTCACTCATGTTATAGTCATTAGCCATGTTCGTCTCATTGTCCTGCTGTGCTGCTAAAACACACATCCACTTAATAAAGCCTTCATTGTGAGTGATACAGTAGCACCTCTATGATCGAAAATAAATTGTCTTTTTACTGGAGAGTGTGAAGCTCTGCTGGAAAGTGTGAAATCTCCACAAACACTTGTGGAATTATCTAAGCCAATTTAATGCCACAATGAAGAATTCATTTGTCTGTCATTATATTTTGAGTCTTATTACACTATGTCTTTGAGGCAGGCAAATGTAATTTTTGGAACTTTTCTTGCCAGTCAGACATCTAAACACCTAGTTGTTCTTTCTCTGGAGTATAAAAAGCAACGTTTTTACAGCCTGAGAATACACAAAAAAGTCATGGAGCTGCCACATCTTGTATGAAGAAAAGGCATGATTTATGGTGCAAGTAAATCATGATGTCAACAACACTGGTAGAAGGGAAACAGCATTTCAACAGGGGGCGCCACACTGTAAATCCACACTGAAGATACTGTACAGCACAGTAAAGTGAGGAAATGCTCACACAGAAGGCAGCTGGTTTATTCAAACACACACACACACACATTCAGACCCACACAAGGCATTAGGTGCCTGCTAAGAGTTAAAAACAAGTCACCTCTCTGACATTTACGCAGGGCTGCTGCTTCTTTTCAGATGCACTGTGGGATATGACAATACCCGCGGCAGGAGAGGCATTGAAAAGACTTCTGGGGAGACAGGAAGCCTCCACTAGCATGGTGCACCTGGACTACCTAAACAACCAGCACAAAAAGACCCACTTGATTGAGTGAATGTGGGAGGACAATGAGCACAATAAAATAAATGGAGTGGTGAAACAATGCCAAATGATGTCACCTGGCAGTCAACTGAACTGGACCCCTGCCACAGTGTTGGTTTGGTTGGCCTGTGCTGTCTGTTACACTTACTCTGTACCTTGTTTATGCTCCAATTTCCCCCTGTACTGAGTACCATTTTCCAGATCTAGATTTTCTCTTTTTCCCCCCACCCCACAGCTGAAAAGGCACAGTGAGTGAATAGGCTTTAATTCTTGCTGTTTGGATGGCTCACCGATGCAATTTTTCAAAACACACTTCACAGATACTACTGGTGCCATCAAAGACCCCCAGAGGAACATTAGCATAGAGGAGTGTTTATACTTTGCATTGATAGTCCATTTACTCTGGCAAACATCAAAGAGCAGAATATCAGCTTTGTTGAATGCCATTTACTGTGGCATGAGATGTTTTGATGAAACAAACTGTGTCTCCATCCCTCTTCTCCACTGAGAGAAAACTGTAGAGAAATTATATGGTCTGAGGCTACAAAACAACATAATCAAATAAATAAAAAAGGAAGTTGATCTTAACATCCTTGGCTGATAAGGATTCACTTTTGCCATGAGATAGAAAAAAAACTCGCATTGGAGAAAAGGCTTAAAATAACCTTTTCTGTGCACTAAACTGATGCTGTATAATGGACCTGACTACTTCGAGAGAACATCATTCACCGCCAACATTGACTAACATATGCCAATACCATACTAACATACTAATCCTCATGCAGCTGCTAATCACTGCAGCCACATTCTCAGCACTTCGCTGTTCCGCGTCCAGGTTGGCTGATTTGATGAGTATCAGATAGCCCGGACCTAAGCTTCCTGTGTTGCCTCTCCATTTGGTTCCCATTTAACCTGTCTCACAGCCAATAAAAGACCTAGTCAATTACAACAAACCGGGAACTTCATATGCAGGAAATAGGCCAATTACATTAAACCCATAGAGCTCCTGCAGCCAGCGAGGTAGGGGTTAAAAGGAAAAAAAGAGAAATATGTAAAGAGGCAGAGAGTCAAGCAGGAACGGCAGCAGTTTTGGGTTTCAATCTGCCGGTTAATCTTCAAACAGCAAGCTGGCAGTGTGCTGGTCACTGATAAAGGCCCTGGTCTGTCATCACACAGCCTCACCTCCAGTCACTCAGCCCTCCTGTCAGGACGTCATCTGGAATCTGGGAAACAGCTAAGGGCAAGGAGAGAAAGGCTAAAGAGAGACGACGGGTGGAGGGGAGAAGAGCTGCGTCTGTGTGTGTTTGCACGCATGTGTCTGCTCAGCTCTCTGTCTGCGCACGGTGGTGTTTATGTGCCTGTCTGTACATAAATGCGCAGTTTTCGCTCACACGTGTCTGTGGCGCGACCTCCTCCCCTTCCTCTCGCCTTCGCCGGCATGCACACACTCACACATTTACCTACATACCCACAGCTCGGGTCTGAGTCGTAAAATCAAACGCTGATTGTGTGATCATGGGTAATTGTGTGAGGAGAGGCCATAAAGTCTAAAAAGAGGGTGTATTAGTGTTTTGTGGCTGTGTTTTATGGGAAGGTGTGCTTTTACGTCTGGGGATGGCTGTGCTGAAAGGTGAGAAGGGGAGGTATCAAAGAGCTGACTTTGTTGTTTAAAGGCAGTCCCCCTGAGGTAGACTGCTGCTGAAAGACAATGTTTACTGCCTGCTGATTGACACTGTAAAGGCACCCAGACGGCACTGAAGAACTAATTGGATATGGCAGAAAGAGTCACCCGTCTTGATGTCTGTAAAACTTCATTATTAATTTTGACATAAGATGATTTGAGGTTCACACGTCTGATTTGGAGAACTTAATTCATTCGGCAAACATTATTTGAAACATGAATTCTGCCGACTGACTCCTCTAAAGATGCTTAATTTCTCCTTAATGCTTGTAAAATGGGGAGGAAAATTGCATGTTTTGGACTGGTATTGCTTTTCTGTCAACTGCGCTCTTATACTGATGTGATGTGCTTTTAATATATCAGGAATAAATTCATTCTCTATCACTGTTTGTGGTATTCTACAACACTGAATGTATTTCTGTAACTGGGAGCTATAGCACCACAGATTCTTTGACAGTGGTGCAAAAACACTCAACCCACATTGCTGATTTGTGTGTGAAGTGTGTGTGAGTAAAAATATAAAATGATTATTGCTTGCTCTAATTATTACATCTAATAATTATGTTTTTGTATCTTTCTCCCTATAATTTTCCTTTCACAAGCACCTGAATGGGTGCTTTTATGTCTGCTTATACATGTAGCCTATTTGCATTTTGCAAGATTAGCTGCTTATCCTTGCTCTGTGACCTCCAGCGTAAACATTAATTGTGTAATACTTTTTACAGATCAGGTGTGGGCTCTTCAAAAAACAGCGTAGCATGTACAAATGATTTATATACTCAAACCAAGGTTGCCCAGTGTGTGTTCTGTGTGTAACCTCTTGCTATACATACACAAATGGACCATTGGCAGGGGGTGGGATAAAGGCTGATTTACTGTAAAAGGTATTGAAGTGATGCCATGCTGCCACAGGAAGAATTGAGTGACCTAGAACTTTGAATATTGAGCAGTGTGCTCAATTCACAGAGTGTGGATGTATGTATACGTGTCAGTGTATACAAGTGTAGATTTATATGCATGTTTTGCTAGCTTTAAAGGCGTATTGGTGTGTGCGTAGGTGTATTAAAAAAATATGGAAAAGATGTTTTCATTCTCCAATGATTCTGATTCTGCTACTTACAATGTGTAAAGTTTGTGTTAGTTGTGTGTTTATATTTCTATAAACAGTATAGTGCCTCTGGATGGCATTTTCTCTTATAAATACACAGAAATATTATTGCAGATGCATGTGTGTTACATAAATTGTGGTTGTTTCTGGACTTCCTAAATCACAGACTGTGATCTGAAATAAGCTCCCAGACTACCCTGAAGCCTTGAATCCAGTTCCATGACAAACATTGGCGTAAGTAGACACGAACAGATCTCTTTTCATTTTGCTTGTGCTTCTCTGCCTGTAGCACAGACCCGCAGTTCACTTTCTGATTAGTTCACTTTACGGCCTTGCATTCAGACAATGTCCTGGGATGTCCTTTTTTCCTTCCTCCTTAAGCTCCTAGATCATTTCCAGGCCCTGCATCCAATAATATTTGGTCGAGCATACATACACGCTGGCATAGTGAGGTGAGTCAGTCAGTCAATCTTTCATTAGGCCTGAGGTGAACAGGGTCACACGCCACTCCTTCACAGCCCAAGACAAGCAGCACATCTGCTATGGGGTTGATGCTTGGAATGATAATGCCTCCTTCTCCTCTTATTTCAGTCTTTTTTCCTCTCTCTCTCTCTCTCTCTCTCTCTCTTCTGTCTGTCTCTCTGTCTGTCTCTCTCTCTCTCTCTCTCTCACCCTCCCCTGCTTTCTATCTGTCTGTGTCTCACACTGTCTATCTCCTCTCATCAGGAGGCTACCATGGAATAGGGCAGCAGCATTGTGTGGGAGGTGATTATGTGTGATCTGCCGACTCAGACTTGACCTTTTCCATGTTATCCCTCAGATTGAAACCAACACTTGTGGTCTCGCTTCCTCCCATGCTTCTGCTCTGTTCGTGTTACTCTGTTGCTGTTGCTTTAATGTTTCATACATATTTCTTAGAGAAGGGACTTCTGACCACACGCCTGCAGTAATTGACCCGTTCCAGTAGCATTCCATAGCAGGTTTGTGGTTTTCTGTGTGTGTCTGTGTGCACAATTTTAGCAACTGAGGATTATGATTACAGGTGTAGCCATTTGGAGTGGGCTATTAAATGAATAAATGGTTTTAAATAGTAGACGTAAGCAATGGAGAGCCAGTTGGTCTGAACATGGAAGGACTTTGTGAAAAGTATCTAGCTTTATAAATGTAACTTATTTTAATCAGTTACTAATACACTATTCAAATGACATTCAGCAACACAAGCAAGTGTTTTTAAGAACAGCGCTTTATAGGTTTATTTGGGCTTGCGTGAAACCAACAAAGCAGCATTTTACAAGACAAGCGTGAAGATGGAGCCATTCTGAATTGGAGATGTTAGCATAATTCAGAAGGTTCGTTCAATTTTAACTGCAAAGTCCATTGTTTCTTTGTGCCGCTCCACAATCCAAAGCAAATGAGACCAACTTGTGTGCAATTTACTCTGTTGTCACGTAGAGATGGTGAACATACCTCTCTCTCTCTCTCTTTCTGCGAGCTTTGCTGTCGCAGCAGTTGCTGTCAGTTTGAGCGGTGCCTGCCCCCAAATATAATAGGGTTTTCTTGACTGCCTCCCCAGGGATTGACTGGCGGTGAAGAATTCACCGTGGCTCATTTGGAGCAGTGCAGGGACGGGCTTCATAAAACTAGCTCCTCCATGTCTCCAGGCAGTTCTGTGGCATTCCAAAGAAGGTGTTAGTTTCACTGATAATACTTTCATGGAAAGACAGCACTTAGGTTTACCATGTTGTCCACTGTCTCTGTCTGTGGCGCATGTCACAAGGCTCAAGAAAGTGAGACAGTGGCATGTTGATGTGGGCGCCTTTTCAGAGACTGTGCTTCATGTAAATGAGGTGTCTATTAAAAGCTCTGTAGATCTCAAGCACTGATAAATGTCATTCCTACACTGCTTTTCTAAATTTCCACAAAAACTGTGATTCATCGCAGTGGTCATGATCAATTAAAAGTCTTAAATTAAAAATCTAATTTTTTCAAGTTCATTTTAAAACAATACTGACATGCTCATATATACACTGAAAGATTTATTGTTTGCTGTAATTATTTCTCCTGTCCATACTGACCATTGAGAGATCCCCCTAAAGAGATTTCAAACCTCAATATCCTCAGTCCTCATTTTGTGTAAAAATCCATTCAACTGAAGCTAATATGGGTTCAGCAGTCTGAGTTAGAGGACTGACAGAACAAGGATTTTGGTCTTTTTAGCACCAAAAATCCTCATTATGTATCTTTAACAGTGTTTCTCTGTTGAGGTGCAGTGTAGGGTTTAAGTTTGATATTAAAAAGACCAACTTACACACGTCATCGCTTACACTGACATTACATTGAGGTCAGAATTACATATATAGTGTGTTTGTATCTGGTTTTTTATCAATTTAAACACTAATTACAACTAGTATAAGCATGTATTAGACTTTTGGTTTTATTCAGAACATAGTTCCTCAGCCTTCCACATACCTAGTGTCTCACCTGGTGCGATATTTATCAAGAGCCCACTTTCACAAAATTCAAACCCACATGTTCAGGCACACAATGTGAAGCACATACACACTCATACACACACTCCTTAACCACAGGCCAGTATCTGTGGTATGAGGGGTTCTTGTTGCTAGACAGCTGCATGCCTTGGCCTCTTCACAGCGGTCGACTGAGCTCCGAGGAGCTTGACAAAGAGGCTTAAAGTCCTCCCTAAGTCTCCAGCCCCTAGGTCGTCTGCATACCCCGAGCCCAGCTCTGGAAAAGGCCTGAATGCAAGTTTAGCAGCTATGGTTACACCCCGGCAGACCCCTGCCGCCGCTCTCGCTTGCATTACCATTTTTTCCCTGGGCTGCTTCAGTCTTATAGCCCAGCAACAGGTTCCTCTGGTGCTCTCCTCTTATTTTATAACATGATGAAAGAACTGACAGACATAGAGCTGCTACTGAGGAACTCTAGTTTTTCTTCTGGGTGTATGTGTGGGTGCGCATGTGCATCTATATTTGTTTTTAAGTCTCTACCAGGCCGCATTGACGCAGTCATGTTCTGGCAGGGATTTTTATCTGCATTCTACCTCCTTGTGTTTTGTTTTGTCTTGTTTTGCTTTGCTGTAGTTTTCTTTGGTGTGAGGGAAGAGCTGCTTGCTGCAAGGTGTGTTTCTTGGCCGGTTACCTACTACGGCCTGTGACACAGCCTCTGTGGAGAGACTGGAGGGTCTATTATGGATATGGACAATAAATCATCACCCATATCCACCCTGTCTGGGGGCACAGACACAGGAGGGTAGATGAGGGTGAAGGGGACTGGCGTGCGTGCAGACCTGCAGACCCACACCATAAATGCACCACATATAGAGGCAGGAGAAGGACAAATGCAGAGGCAATGAGAAACTACTGCAGGCATTTTAAACGAGGGAGGTATGTGTATACGTGCGTGTGTGTGTGTGTACATGTGTTCTATACTGGACCAGTTTGTACCTGCGAGTGTGTGTGTGTGTGTGTGTGTGTGTGTGTGTGTGTGTGTGTGGGAGGCGGTATTCAATGTCAGCAGCTGGAAGTACTCAAGCTGCTGCTGCAGAGAGAGAGAGAGAGAGAGAGAGAGAGAGCGAGAAGAGACGCCTGTACAAGAAAGAGAGACTAAGAGAGGTACCAGCACAGGCTCCCTCTGTACAGGGCCTGAGCTCTTGCAGAGTGAAAGCCCCTATAGAAAGAAAGCAGGGTCATCTCAACAGCGCAGCGGCCTCGCGCACACAAACGCACACTCCCTCACACACACGATGGAGCAGAACAACACAAGGGCCAGCGTGAGTGCACAGCAGTCCTCCTCAGGAAGCGGGTCTTGTTTAGACTTACAGCTATGTGCAAAGAATAATAAGGACCAGGACAATGTTGGTACAGACATGCAACACTCCCCCGTCAGCCTTTTATGTCTGCAGAATCTCCCTCTTCACTCGGACAGATACTCCCTTTGTTCGATATTGTAGATGAAAGAGGATTAGGCATACCTATGTTATGGTCAGTGCCGAGGCTCCCGCCCGGCGATGCCAAAACAGTCAGATGAAAGATCTTGTGGTTTTTGAAACTCACTGCAGGTATTATGCCATGCTCCTTATGGAAGTTATTCAAGTTCACATCCTTTCTCCTTCACCCTTTTCAAACCGCTCGCTGTCTTTCCCTCTTTTTTCTTCCTTCCTTTTTTTCTGGAGAAAGGTAATGAAGGGGAACCGAGTTACTCGGCTTAGGAGTGCCAAGGCTGTGATTTTCACTGTGAAGTGTTAAAAGTTACAGTGCACAGCTGAACTTGTATATTCAAGCATTTGGCAGAGTTACAGCTCCCCAGCTAAGACACGTGTTTCAAAGTTTCAAACTTAACAGGAAAATGAACAGGTGTCTCAGACAAAGTTTCTGTTCTTCTTGGAAATATGTGTTTGTGTATGTGCGTTTGTACATGGTTATGCATCTCTCCTCTTCTTTCTGTCACATTAAAACAGGTCGTTCAAGCTCAGGGCCCCCTATTTTATTCCTTTTTACACAGATCTTCACTGTAATGGACACCGTTAGTTTTGTGAGGGGATATAGCACAGTCCTGTACTTTGTGCCTCTCCTTGACAGAAACATCAGTGAATCAGCCCAGCGATTTCAGTGGGTCATTCCAGAAGATTCTGTTACCATTCAACAAGCAGAGTGGGCCCCCAGGCTGAGGCCAGGGAGAAGCCGGGGAAATTTAGGGACACAGAGAGAGAAGTGAGCAGAAACAAACGCAGAGGCCAGAGAAGAGATGGATCGTTTTTGATCAAGTTTGAAAGAGGAAAAAACAAGGCAAGAGTGTAACTCAGAAAGCTTTAAAAAAAACACAGAGAATCAGAATGTGGCGGGGCAAGAGGAAAGATCTTGAGACAGAGAGAGGGTGTGAGAGTACTCAACTCAGTGGAAATCCTCGAGTTCATACCGTGTTCCAATCAAAGTCCATTGACCTGGCAGGCCTGTGACAAATTATCCCAGCGGCTCTACATATGACTCAATCAGCATTGCGGATAGCTTTCTGATGAGCAATAGGTCTCCTCGTATATCAGCCAAATCACCCCCTGATGACTTCATCAACACGCAGCCTACACTTCTCTAAGTGGAAGCGAAGGGAGATCTTGAAATCAACCTTACAAAAGGTACCTGTTGTCTAAAGAGCACCTTTACAACCATAGTGAACTTCATTCTTTTGTCACTTCTCTACAATAGGTAGAGACTAATGTGTGCAATGTTCAAGTCATGTACTCGACAGTCTTTCAGGAAGAATAATGCACCTTTAAACTGATAAGAATTTACCTCCTTCTGTATAAGCACAGCGACCACTGGCTGGTAAGACATAGCGGCTGTGAGGTTTAGTTTGAACCTCTGTTAGCCGTCCATTACATAATGTCTAGATTGAATGGATATTGGATGCCACCACATCAAGCAGAGTCCCATCTGCTGCTGCGGGGTAGGTACACACCAATCACACATGAGAGACAAGCCAGAGGACACCTGATATGCAGCTGAAGCCAAGTGGATGGATTTACTCTCTAGAGCCAACAGACCTAGCAGAGCTCTGAGCCATGAGTAGTGAACATCTGAAGGCCCACCTCTCCTCTTGTAATTGAAAGTGCACTCAGTAGCAGAGAAGCAAGAATGTGTATATATATCTTGCTTGAGAGATTCTCCCGGGAGGGTGTCTATGGGGCGTTTCATTTTAAGTTGCTATCTGTCACATGGGCAAACTAATCAGAGAGACAGATGAAAGGTGGGGGCCAGAGGAGGGGTCAGCTACTCAGTGATGGCTTCCTCTGATGGCTGGCTGACCCCATCACCCCTGCTAGAGGATCCTGGGTAAAGGATAAGCCATGTGTGATGATGAAACTCAGAATGCTAGCTCCTGGGGCTGTGATGACTTAACCCAACCTGCACATTGGGTCTGCATAAACTTTATACACAAATAGTCTATTTTGATTGCTTAAAACATTGTTGAGGTGTTCCCTTGTGCCCTGACAAGCAATTACATATTTGACACATTTAACCCTTGGCGCAGGTGACGATCAAGCTATTGGATTTACTGTTAAAAAGCGTACAGAAGCTAGACATTTTCATGTTTCCCATTTAGGCTTGTTTGGTGTAATGAATTTTCCATCTGCCTTCAAAGCTGGGATCTAGTCATCCATTTATACATTCATAATTGGATGTGTTGCATAAACCAGATTCCAGTGCTCAATGGAGCCTTTCATGGCACACTAATCAGACCAGACGCCACCAGACAACAGCTATATTTACTTGTATCATGTTAGAACAAGCCCCACTTGAAACAAACTACTCTTACATTTTGGATTAGGTGTCTGCGGACGGCAGCAAACAACAACAGCCTGGGTCGGGAAGTTCAGCCCCATGATCAGTTTACTGTCACAGCACCGTCTCCACATTGCCGGTCAAATGAACCACCTTATTTATACAGCTACAGCTCTGCGGCAGAGGAGCTGTAAAAAGTTAAAAGAAACCCCCCCACTGAACCAAAAGCGGATTTTCACTGCCTTTCTTCTCTGCATGGAAGCAGTATGAACTTAATGCTCAGCGGAGAGGACATTAGACTGTTTATGGTTTATTAATTGTTTCTGAGGGAGTGGCAGTCCAAGCGTGACCTGCTGTTAACTACCATATAAAATATCCACATGTTCACAACATCTGGGGGCTTCTAAGTAAACAATACAGTGAAATATACTTTCAACATATAACATTTTTTTGGCCCAAGCAGAAGGCACGTCTGCCTCTGCAGCTGCTTGGCCTTTTTAACTCCCTTAGTCGTGTCGGCACATGTCCACTGTCAGGGAGCAGTGCCAAAAACGACCACTGTGTTCAATTATATTTCCGTAATTGTGTATGGTACACATTAATCAAATCTAATAATCAGTTTTCAACAGCATATGGTTAGCAGGGCTGCGCTGTCAAGTGGAGAATATTCAGCAAAATACCTCGGTGTGCAAGTAAGTATTCTGAACTTAAAAATACATTAAGTTAAAATGTCATAATCAAGTTCATAATTACCATAAATATAATTTCAATGCCAGCTGGGGCTTACAGATGCAAACCAGCATAGTAAATAGTTGGAGGAAATGTGCGTGTGTGTGTGTGTGGCATAAAACACAGAGGTGGAATTAAAATCTGATGTCATTAAAGTGTCTGGCAGAGTATCACATTATTTACATGATGTAACCTTCCTCTGCCAGGACGTGTCACTCAGGACTCCATCTGCTGTGAGTGCAGCACAGAGCATCAAACTGTGTGTGTGTATATGTGTTTGTTTGTGTGTGTGGACACCAAGGTACTGCAGCAGGCCTCTAATACTTGACCCAAGCGATGGCCTAAAGCTGTCAGCTCCTTCCTGTGGGTAGAAGAGGACAGCTAAACAACTGATTATCTGATCCAGTCACCTACAAATACTACTGACAATACCTCGCTGCCAAGAAAAATTGGCCCAAGTGTGACAGAAGTAACATCTGTGTGTCTGTGTGTGTGTGTGTGTGTGTGTGTGTGAGTGAGTGAGTGAGTGAGTGAGTGAGTGAGAGAGAGAGAGAGAGATGAGGGGAGGGCTGCGATGCTATACATCTCATTCTGTGTCACTTTGTTTGGATCTACGGAAAAGCAGAGTGAGGTTTGTTAACAATAGATTTTGATGTATATTAAGGCAGTTCGTACAGTTCATATCTGAATTTAACCCCCGTCGACATTTCCATTAGACTGATTAAGAATTTCCAAGGATGGAGCTCCTTTTTTGCAACTGGGACCAACTCGAGTCCAGAGGCATTTATCAGTTGATTGATACTTCATCTGTCGGAGCTTTGATGTTTTCCTCATTCTTTTTTCTTTTGTATTATTCTTTCATCCTCCTGCTTTTTTTATACCCTCAGCATTAAATAGGTCCATGAATGGGCTTCTTCATTGAGAACACCTGTGCAGCAGTTAAAATAAGCAGGCCTATCTAATACCTCTACCATCCTGTGTCTATCTTTGAGCTTCTTCTGTTCCAATATAATCAAACAGGAAAGCACACGTTTCCTGTCTTTGGCCCATATGGACTGGAAGTTAACCATCAATATACGAGCACACTGCTCAAACTTTTTTTTATCCTCCTCTCCTGCTTACTCACTCTGTCTTTCTCTCTCATTGTCTCATTGTCTTTGTGAGGTATGCTTTTGTAAGTGTCTCACTCACTTTCAAGCAAAAAAAAAAAAAAGGTAACAAAGTTTGCTAGAGCTTTGAGCTTTCTCTTGATCTGAATACAAAGCTCCAAGGTTCATGTTGGTTCACGTTTGGTTTCCACTGCAGCTCAAAGAGCTAATTGTGCTCAGCAACATCACAGCGTGACACGATGACTGACTAATGCATTAGCCATCGTTGTGTTTGATAGAGACGCAAACACGCGCGCAGGATGCCCGGCGCCGCTCATAACACACCTCACCTCTTGTGATGTAGCTATGGGAGCCTTGTCGTGGCTGCTCACTTGTTTTGATGGTGGTCGGTGTCACGGCTGGTTCACATGTTGTTTTGATCCCTGCTGTCAGAGCCCAGTGAGCTCACACAGACACAGCTGGCTTGGGTGGAGCCGCTAGGGGTGCATAAGGAGTTGAAGGACATGGATCCTTGCCAACACATTTCATACATAGCGCATATCTTACAAGTGCAGCTGAGAATTAGAGACAGGGGACCCTCACCCCTCACTGCCCACCCTACCATCTGCCCGCCTGGGGCTCGGGGCTCGGTGGCTTAGCTTCCATATTACCAGGCATGACAGCCCTGCCCTCAATCAACCCCTTATACACACACACACACACACACACACACACACACACACAACACACCTTTACTTCTCGTCTCTTCTCTTTTCTTCTCTTCTCCTCTCCTCTCTTCTCCCCTCTTCTCTTCTCTTCTCCCTCACTATTTTAATGACAGGAGTATGTTAGTGTGAAACTTGCCTCTCCTTAATGTCAGTGTAAATGAGAGATTACTGGCCTTTAACAGCAGCAAAGACGGGGGACATTATTTTCCTCTCGCCATCTAATTTGGTTCTTGCTCGGAGGGGACTGCAAGGCCAGCAAAGGTTAGGTCTCTGCAACGGTGTGTGTGTGTGTGTATATGGTGGTGAATGTGTGTCAGTGTGTGGCTGAGTGTCTCAGTGGAGGTTACAGGTCTCCGAGTGGATATAATTAGAAACTTCCGTGCAGCTTTTAGAAAAATAGTCAGCTTCCCCTTGCTTGTTTTCCTTTCACCATTTATCTCTCTTCTCTGGTGACACAATCAGGGAGTTAACCGCCATGTCCATCTTTGTGTCTCAACTTGCCCCCGTTTTTTCCCCGCTGGTGTAAATCTCACATCCTGTTCCCCATCAGCCAAATAAAACAGCAGGACTGGATAAAACACATGGAGGGGAATCCCTTGAATCAGCATACATGAAGCTTCACAGAGCTTCATTCCTCCTCTTGAAGGCTGGTTAGAGGAGTGAAATATTTAGATGATTGGTACAAGAACCATGAAAAAGATTAAACAATTAAAAAAAACTAAGTGTAGGCCATATTTTGGCACCACTTCTTTGCTTAAATTAGTTATTTCCTCAGGTCATGTGTCTGAAGTTGAGTAGTAGTTTGGGGGCAGTCTATTTTGTATATCATCACTGCAATCTTTAAGATGTGATGATACTTTACACCAGGTCACTCCTGTCAACATGAAAGCCCCTATACATTTAGAAATGACAGTTATTAGTAGAAAGCTGTTGGCAGATAACTAAGAGAGAATTCTCCAGTGCCTTTCATCCTCCCACAGTCTTCTATAAATAATGGCAGGTTACTAAGGATAGGCTGAGTGACTCATACACCTTCTCCTTGCTGCCACTGGCCTGCTTCTTCTCCTATAGTTGTGACAGAGGGCTTAAGGGGCCAGAATACTTCCCAGCTTCAACCACCCCCCTCCCAACACATAGACACCTTTTCGATGTAGGATTTGGGGGGGGTTGTGTCCGACCATTTCTGTACCTTTTTCTGAAACAACATTCACACCCACTTCACACTGTGATTGGCCCAGCTGTGTGGAGGTGAGAGAGGTGCCAGGGTTTGAGATTCTCTCTCCAGCTCTTTTTTCATTCTTGGCACATCTGGGTTATTTTTTGTGTCCGAGTGTGTCGGACAAGATGTTGTACAAACCACTCTTTTTCTAGTATAACCCAGCCCTTAGAACACACACTCACTCATGCACACTCATTACGACAAAAATGCATGTACGGCTTCCCATTGTTTCCTATTGCCTGAGCCACCAGTAATCGGCTGCAGTGGATCAGCAGAGCAACAGTTTGCTCATGAAACCGACTGATGTTAAAGATCCCCACTGATCCACACACAGAGGAGAAGGGATGTTTTCTCTCACTTCCTTAGCTTCCTATTGCACTTTAATACAGCTAATTAAACATTTTAATCAAGGATAGCACTGTATTGATCCCAATCCATGCTAAGGGGGTGGTTAGTGTTAACCATACCACTCTGATTATTCCTGCTCCACTAGAGCTGTCACTCACCCTTCCCAATGATCCCATCAACTTTCCCTCCTGCCAGCGTCGAGAGAGAAGACCAGTAAAAACAATGAGTTGAAGTCATCCCCGACTTATAATTAATCTCTTGTCGACTTCTATTGACACGTCCACTCTTTGATTAAATAATTACCTAAGTGCCATAAGCCTCCGTGATTGAGTCATAATCCTGAATAAGCTGTAACCAACTATGGTCACCTCCTTCGCTACGATTAGCTCATCATTTGCTTGGCTGCCAGAGCAGCAGCTACCCCCCATCTGTTATGCTCTGGTTCTGGGACAGCAGTTTTGGGTTTCTGGAGCCTGGTAACAGGTTCTCATTTGACTCTCGGTACAGTTAAACTCACAGAGTGTGTGCAGATACAGACACGTGCGCACACATATGCCCATGTATGCAAATACATTCACACGCATGTCTGCACATTCTGACAAGTGCAGTTTCTCACATTATACTACTGCTCAAACCCACCCACAACAAACCACACACACTTCCCTTCACACATGCACTCGCAAACACATGCGTGTATACCCACCTGCCCACCCAGCACTCCCACACCTCACACATAAACAGCCTGGCATCTGTCATCGTAGGGGGGGTCACACGTACACACACACGTGCACACATGCAAACACAAACACACCCAGACACACAAACACAGTCCTGTTGTCTGCAGTGAGCATACCCTTTTGACCCTTTGACAGGTACACGGAGGATCTCAAAGTGAGAGGAGAAGGCTCAGAGCAGGTCTACAAGTCAGAGACGTGCCCTCTCCATAGGTAGCTGTCGAACTCCTCGGGGCTCCAGGGGACGGCAGTGCCTCTCCCAGGAAGCTATAACTCTCCTCTCAGGAAGTGAGGTGTGTCTGCAGCGTTATCTACATCTGTCTGGGAGAGAAGCAGGAGGACAAGAGGTCAGACAAGAATGGGACCACTTATATCATGTTTTATGTATGACGTGTGGCATGTGTTTGAATATTTACATGTGTCTGAAGGTGATGCAAATAAAGAAGAAAAAAGAGGGAGGAAGTTCAGAGAACTGTGTTTCCTTTGTCAACAAAGACTGTCTGTAAACAGTTTAGCATGATGCAATTCCAGAGCTGAGCCAGTAACACCCACAGTGCATATCATGTATTGATTGGAGCTCCACATATATAAAGGGTTTCGAAATCAGTGATCAAGTCCCTTTACACAATAGTTAATGATGTTCAAAAAACTGTTTTCTTTCTTGGCCAGACCTTTTCTGAAATATTTTTTTCATTTTGTTGCATTGGGTCATTAAAGTATTTTCCCATCTGATCATATCCTTTAAAGACAACTGTGACCTTCAAATGTGACTGATTTCAACACTTCTTTCCTACTCCTGATGGTTTCTCAAATTCCCTCTGGTCCTAGGTATGTTGAACGACCCCTGAAATAACACGTTCGAAGAATATAAATGATCAGCCCCGACAAAGTCGAGTTAAAAGCTTTGGGGGTGATCCTTGTGAACTCTTAGAACACTCCCAGGCATATAATTAAAAGGTAGTTTCTAATTTCTATGAGAGTAAATTAGCGCCTCAGCTTCATTGTAAAATCATGGCTGGTGGCACGTAGCCTGGGGAGATGGATTGAATGGATCAGAGAGGGTTGGACAGTCACTGGATAATTTTGACAATGGGGTTCGGGGGTATCATCCATCACTCAAGAGCTTACATGAAAGTTTTGACAGGTAGAGGTCATGGCAATGTGGCAGGAGCCAACAGAGATGGATGCCTTTAATTTGGGTAATGAAGAGTTAACCATCTTGGGAGAGCAAGAGGAGCGTTAAATGGGAGAGCCATCCGCCATTAAAAGAAAGTCTTATTTAATTCCTCCAACCCTAATGAAAGACATCGGAACACAATCCTTGATTGACAATGAGGCCCCAGCTGTAATTCCCTGCAGACAGTTCACTTAAGTTCCCTCCCTTGTTAATCTCAAATATAATGAATTGCAAAACTAAGGTTAAATGTGGCAGCGTGAATTCATTATCACTAATACATTAGACCATAAGATGATTTACAGTGCGGTCTCTCTCTTATTTTCATTAACGGTGAATAGCTTTGATTTAGCTAAGATTCCGCTGGCCTGTTCATCCTCACCATCAATCTCACCAGCTTGGTCATTGTCCTCCTTTATATGTGACCTCTTCGCTCCAGAATGGACCAAAGAATGAAAATGTGTAGGAGCAGACAACCTGGTGAAAAAATTATTATTCTGCTTTTTAGTGTGAGTACAAGACCCCTCTTTATCGCTTCCTCGGAAATTATATTCATCCTGAGCTGTCATTCAACTTCATCCTTGACCCTGGTCTTATTGTTGCAGGCTTAATGGTCGTGCTTTCTCCAAGATAACACTTAATGCTCCACTGTCTACCAGCAAAGGCCTGCAAAGACTATCTCACACTAAAACACCAGGGACCCTATCAGCATATTGAGCTGATAGCTATATGGACATTCAAAATGCATGTACATGTTCCCCTATCATTCATTAACCAACAGAAAGGTATCTGAAATGCATGTTTCTTTCCCAGGTATAATTCTAATACATCTGCCATGGAGTACATTGAACATAGTGTGGGCACTCTGTGGCTTGGGCAACATTCCCAGTCTATTCATATTAATGCTCGAAGGAATGTCATACATAAATCAGCGTATTACGGTTCTACACCCTTAAGGAACATGGCGTATGCCCAATTTGCCTCGCTGAAATTTGTTTATATGCACTGACTTCCTGTATCACCATTTACTTTTCTGAAATCATTGTATGTGTATGCTTCCACGTTCTTAAATCTACATTACTGTTGCGCATAAATGTGACAAATTGTAACAGTGCACTAAGTAGAGGCTGCAGCAGCTACGGTGAGTGACAGGAAGGTTATGGGCTCCTAATGACAGGGTTTTTAAAGCTATAGCTACTGCTAATTGGGGTGATGTGTCCGTCCTGTGTCCCCCCAAGACATGTCTAGCTACCAGGGATTAGCCATGATTAAGGTACTGGTCTTCCTAGTGCTTTAAGACCTTTCACAGTATTTATCCGCAATGGTCAGATTACTCCAGTGATGGACAGATAGAGATCGCGCGGGTCATGATATATCTAGGCAGTTGGTTTGAAGCGTATTACAGCCATCCTTCTAGCTAGTTTGGCTTTGAAAGTTACATATATCTCCATACGTGGTGTAGAAGGAGAGTGAATGTAATATTTATGCAATCAGCTTGTTATATAAAAGTAGTTCAGAAATAATGCCTCAGGATATTTTTCACATTTCTTGTTGAAAGAAAAAAGGGAGGCAGTTCTTACACAAAACACATTCATTGAGTGTAAAATCATTATGTTCTGTTGGCAAACAATTTAGTCTAGCATCGCACTAAGTACACAATAATGGTTCTCCCCAATTAACAAGACACTAATTATGTGTTGCTTCCTCTACAGGTTTATATGGAACACAATGTTTTATGAGCTGCCCTTTTCTTCTTCAAATACTTTCATGGTAAAACTGCAATATTTCTAGATACTGAAATGAAAGCACAGTAATAACTCTTTGATTACTTTTTCTATACTATATAAAGGAATATAAATACAGCATGCTCATTTATTGAATGTAGATTTTTATGGGTATTTTTTACATCAGGGAAACTCTGGGCACCAACTGTGAACCTCTTAGGTCATTATGCTGTTAAACATTGCAATGGTCACAGTGAATACATTTGTAAGGAAAACACATTCATATTTTAAACTATTTGTGTTAGTCAGCGTTTGAAATGATCAAAAGTGCTGAGCCTCATTCTCTTTTCCTTGTTAGGCCCATGTCTGTTCCAGAGGAACCTCTCATGTGTTTTCATTTGAGAGGAAGGCTGTGAATTTAACGGGAGCGGCAAACTCTACCTTGTTAGAATGAATTGTCATGTATGCTTGACAGACACTTATAATGAGATTAGTGTAGGGATGTATCAAAGAGGAAATGTTGGAAATAAGAGAAGAGCTAATCCGCTCACACTTTTATGACTAAATTCATTCTTTCCGCGGTTTCTCGAAACTTTGCTTTCCTTTTCATTATCTGAATTGTCTTACAGCTCTCATCTTGTAATCCTGAGCTCCTCTATTGACACTAGAACTCAGTTTAAAAAAGAGCCCATGAGACTGGAATAATAAATGGGAGATTTGTGTTCACGATATCAGATTTGTATTATTATTTTATTTGCAGGTATAGAGCCTGCTAATTTTTTTTCAAGGAGGTAGATTACTTCCATGCATTAACATAATCAGTAGAGAAAATCATACACACACATTAACATAATCAGTGTCTAATCACACTGCAATATGCAATGAGGGGTAAGAGGTTGTGACTACTGACACATACAACAATATCTAACACTTGACTTGAGCGGCCTAATATTTTTACAATAATCTAAAACTCAAAAATCCAAATGTTTAATTTGTTCACTCTGTAAAAGACACTTAACAGGCCAAAGTCTGATGAAAGCATCAAGCTTCGCCACACCTGAGTTAGTCTGTGACTGTGATTTGACACACTCATTATCAAACCTTCTATTATTGATTTCTAGATAGTTGTTAAACACTCTGCCATGCACACAGCTTAGCCTTTCTATATCCCTCAGTCTCCTCCAATGACCTTTACTGTTAAGATAGAGATAGCTCTCAGCGCATACAGAGGGTTGTGGAGGATTTGCAAAAGAGGACATTTATGAAAATCTTTCTTGAAGCCTGTCTAAGAAATCCTTAAGAGACATGAAGGAAAGGGCAGTGAGTCGGTATATGGAGAGGACATACTGAGGCTCTGATATGGATGGAATGCTGGGGAAAATACCAGTCTATATGTGCATATGTAATGCAAAGTAAAAAGGAAGTCGCAAGACTCCATTGAAGTTTTCTCCCTTTCTGTGGTGCCATTGGTCTCTCCAGACATACACTCAGAACATAAATATACTTGAGGGAAACTTTACTTGTGATTCAGCCAGCAGACAAAGGTTGATATTGAAATGACCTTCTCTATAGACTTAAGTTGGTATTTAAAGAAGTTCACATCTACATAGAAGACACTACTTTCTCTAATACTGGGCCAGTCAAAATGAATGAGTGAATGTGATGAATGATTATGGGAAATAGGTCAATGGCTATTCCGTCTGATTTCAGAATGGTGTGCAAGATCACCAGAGTCAGCCCCACAACTAAGGAAAAAAGTATGTTTTCATTCTGTCCCACATGATTTTGATTATGTTTACATAATAGCACAGTGTTTACTTGCCATGTTTTCGTCATTGTTCAGGAATAACAGTTCTTTACATCTTTTATACACATTTTTATTCTGAGACTTGTTGGTTTCTGGCTGAACAAAGCTGGCGAGGGTACAACTAATTCAGCTTCAGTTTTAGGTGGTTATTTGTCAGTATTTGTGGTTTGAGGGATTGATTTTCTTTCCCCCACTGCATTGATGAAACCCCTCCTGGGGGTTCCTCTGGGAATTCATCTTGTGCTGATAACTTTGAGCTATCTTATCTGGTCACTGTTCAAACAAGAGTGAATGCTTAGATTTGCTTCAGGTGTTTGTCTCACCATGGGTCCATTTCTTCCTGTTTTTGTTTTCAAGGTTAAAGCCTGATTGATGCTGCTGATTTTTTACAATACTGTTTTCATGCAGCCTATGACTAAATCACTTTGTTAAAAAAGTAACCCGCAAGCAATGATTGACAAGCAAGCTGTAGTATTCTGGCATTCATTTGGATAATATTTTCGAAATGAAAGGATAAAAACGGCTATTAGGAAATTACCATTGGAAATTTCGGAACATAAAAAATGTATCAGATGGTAATGGCCATAAAATAAATATGATCATTCACAGAGCTCACTGTATGACAGATACACTAAATTCTAGGAAACAACCGTCATTGCGCAACTATTATTTTAGTTTAAGACATTTTAGGGTAATTAATTAACCTTGAATGTCAATAAAAGGAAAGTGAGGAAGCCATCAAGAGAAAAAATAAAACTAACAATCCCTGACTTTAATTCAGGGTTATCCTACCTGCTAATTATAAAACCTTAAGGATGCTGCCTGAGATTTGTCCACGAGGCATGGATTCTCAATTTGTCATGCTGCTTTGAACTGTCACTATTCGACCAGTGGTGCAAAGATCATAAACCAGTAAAACTTCAGAGCACAGGATGCGACTGAGGGTGACTAAGGGGTTGCTTGTACTAGGAAAGAAGCCTCTTCTGGAAGACATTCATAGTTGCACTTTGTTTTTCACATGAAAAGTGTCAGAAATAGTTGGATAAAAAAGAGAGGGAATGGGAAGTAAAGTTTAAACGCTGGCTCCTTTCTCGCCTCCGTAAAGCTGGCCAATCATTGAGTTAAGTGAATTTTAGCTCGTCTGATTAGTTTTGGACACTTTGGCTACCAACCTACTTAATCAGAGGCTGGGAGGTGTGTTGTTGAAGAAGTTTCGGAAGCTATTAGACAAGCAGTTCTGACCGAGTATCCTGGCCCCTTAAGCACAGCACGGGCCCCTCACCCATCTAGACAGAGTGTCCTGTAGTCAACACTATCTTATCTTGTTTGAGGGCAAGCCTGGGCTGGTCTGCAGGGGAGCAGAGCCACATGGCTTCAGTGGGAAAACGTCCCATACTTCTTAGAAATCAACTGCATGAGTAAACGTGATAAAAAACATCAATTTCTCTGAGAATGATGGTGTTTTGGCTTTATGTTTGCACGCAGCAATTCAGCTTTATTGATGAACTGTTTTACCACTCCACCACCAAAAAGCCAGCCACTGTAAACAACGTCCTCCTTTAGTATTTCACTGGTAATGATGTGTAGTTTTCATCTAGGTTGTATCAACATGGTAATAATAACTTTAGGTTGGATTGACACACATTATGTTTTATAATCTTACAAACTTAACTTTCCCCTGCTCCTTCCATAGTCTCCACCAGTGTGTATGAGAGCAAGACCTGACCTGCAGCCATACAATCCATCAGCATTAGTCCTACACAGTCTCCAGACTAAACACACTCTCATTACAGTGGCTGTGAGCGCCTGGAGGGCTCTTCCTCCTCACAAGTTTATTAACACAAGACACAATGTACAATACAAAACTAGGTACACTGGACTCTTACAGTAAACACCGCTTCAATGCTGCTGGTATATAATTAAAGGATTTAAATGGCCCGAGCTTATGGGGAATGACATGGCAATATGATTACTGTAGAACACACTGTACCGTGTAAGCCAGAGTTGCTCCAGGATGATGTCATCTCCTTCAAGCCATTGCAGATTCCCGCTGCTTTGTGGGGCAGCGTCTGTGCTGTGAAGAGAGCGAGAGAGAAAAAAACAGGAACTGAGACCGGAAACTCTTCACGCTTTTTTTCTTACAGAAATCAAACAGTTGTCACCTGTATAAAGGCTGGTTATGTGTTGCCAGCTAATAAAAGCCTAATTCCCATATCTCACATTCCTAAGTGCAATAATTGCCTTAGTGACTAAAGAATTCAGTTACTTCCATCCTACACCCACACCGATCCTCGTGTCTCACATTGGCTATGCTCAAACTTTATAGTCTCCCTCAGGGTTTAATGCATGCTGGAGTGGTTGGGTGAGTGTTCCCTTGTGAGGCAGAATACCACAATTTTATTATTACTAATGCAAAGTTGGCCAAAAAAATACTTTGTATACTGTTTGGTAGTTTGAGCTCTAAAAATGCATACAATTTTAAAAACATCATCATATGTTTTGAATGTAAAATCTGTATTTGCAAAGAAACTAAATATAGCCAGTATATAAATTGAGTGGCTAGCATAAAATTGTAATTTTCCTGGAAAGTACCTCAAATGTGTGCTAAGGTACAGTACTTGAGTAAACTTATAGTTTATATAGTTGCTTTCTACCAAGAAATAGAGTAATGTTACTTTTTACTATTTAGAAAACAGTTTCCTCTCACAAACTTCAGTACAGTGCATGAATGGACAAAACCCAGAATAGTGTTTGTAAGTAGAGGGCTGTTGCAAGTGCAAGTGTACACAAGGTACCAGCAGCTTTGGCCTCTGATTGCATTTGTGTGTCTGTGTGACAAACATTCCAGCACAGTGCTCAAGCATCAGCTGTTTACATTCACGACAAGATACTCCAGTCTCAAGTATCCGCTAAGCATCGGACCTTGAGAGACAGAGGCCACATCAAGGAGGTCAACAAACAACCCGACACCCTGGAGATACATTTGCATTGAGTCGAGAATGTTAAGCAACAACCGGGCATAAAATGGCCTTGGAGGCACCAAACACTTAAGTGGTAAAACAACAACCTCCAGACTTGCTGTGAGATCCTCCTCATTGTCAAAGCTCTTCTTATCTCGAGAGAGAGAGAGAGGAAGATAGCATGATCTTTGAGGAATGAGACCGTACAGCGACAGGCAGCCAGCGAAACAAATTCTGGGCCAGCTGACATAGCTCATTTTAGTATCATCTCACAAGTTCAGACAACGAAATGGGTTGCAGTAACTGGCTACAAACGTACAAACTATAAATCTTAAGATTCATAAGCTGATATTAGGTTTCACCTCCAGCCACAGTCTGGATAGAAAGGACTTTAAGTCTGTATGGAAAGAGACAAGGGTGGCTTTATCTTATACTTGCAAACTGCTGGAACTTGTTACATAAATTCTATGCATATCACTGGATTACCATTAAGTGACTCCACTATATGGGCTAGAAAAACACCAATTCACTGCATGGCAATAAACATTGTAACCTGAGCACACAGGATACTCGAAAATGTGTCAGTCAAGTGAAAAGTTAATTTGCGTTTTTATGTGCTACCAAAACAACCCCCCTTTCCTCACCACTGCTTTTAGCCCACCACGCCGACACCCCCTCCCCTTCTTTAGCCATTGTGAAGCCATCAGATAGCGGTTTCCAGAAGTCCACACCTGTCTCAGGGCTATGCAGAGGAGATGGATCCATGCATTTTGAGCATCAGATAGCCTCTAGCCAGGGTTAGTATTGATCTAACGCTTCACTGGCCCTTTGTGAGAGCAGCAGCTGCTTTGGGGGGCTTTTAGATAAGCAATGCAAAGGGAATTGTTTCTCCTGAAACCCTCTTTCAATGTTCCTACATGAAAACCATCACTTAATTCAACACTCCATCGCTCTGGAATAAAATGTCCTCTCCCTTGACACGAAAAGCCGCAAATAAGCATTAAAACATCTGCCTTTGGGGTATTGGAAAGTGCGTGGTATTAGAAATCACACAGTGATAATGCAGCTCTCTGGATTTTCACTGTTTAATCATATGTAATCTCTAGAGTGAAAATGAAATGAAAACACAACATGTTTCAGTATCCCACAACTCTCTCTCCCTCTCTCTTCACTATCACCACAACCCAGTCACTGAATGAGGCAGTTGGCGTGGGGTGGGAGGGAGGGGAGAGGGGGTATATTGCTGCTGCATCTGTGTGAGGCAGACATGGCGATGAGACCCTCCCTAAGATGACTCATAGGCTGTATGGGCTGACACCAGCACCTCATTCACAGCCAATAATGAGCCATGCTAATGAGCAGGACAGCCACCCTGCATGCTCATCATTAAGCAGCCCTGTGATTCATGTCCAGCATGAAACCATCATATGAAGAGATAAGGCTGGCTGGAGCGGTCTAGGATGAGATATGTAGGACAAATCACAAAAAAAAAAAATGTTTCAAGCGCAATACTGCAGGCAAGGCTAGAATTTTGTATGATATGACCGATCAATGTGTCTGAAAGGAATAAGTGCTCTTTTGGCAAATCAGAACAGAATAATAGTGTTGTTTAGCTCTCTTTTACGTCTTTCGTGTGCTGCATATGAGGACAATTTCCTAGAATTCCACACAGATATGCAGTCAATATGTGCTGGCAAATTGCCCCCATATATGATACCATGCTATCAGTTAATTTGAAATAACCTCCTCTACCAACGTCTGCACTGATCTGATCAAAAACCACTCAAATGAATCCATCAGGGGAAAAAAAACACGCTGACAGTAAAACATGCAAGTGCATGCGCCAACCTCCTGAGACTCCTGCTCCGACACATATATCTGATAAGGCTTAATCAGCACAGGGTGGTCATGATAAAGCATTTCAGCCCTATCTCTGTCTGAGAGAGAGACACACAGACAGTGGGTTGCCTCTCCACGGGTGGAGAGGCAGGAGCCCCTCCATCTCTCAGTGTTTCTCCCTCAAAATGCCCCAGTCTCCTTAGCTCTGTCTTTCCCCCTGTGTGCCTCTTTTTCTCTTTCTGTCTCCCTGATTCTCTCTCTCTCTCTCTCTCTCTCTCTCTCTCTCTCTCTCTCTCTCTCTCGTGTTTTTTTTCTCTCTCTCTCTCTCTCTCTCTCTCTCTCTCTCTCTCTCTCTCTCTCTCTCTCTCTCTCTCTGTGGAGACACTTCTTAAGCCCCAGCTGGGGAAAATACGGTGGCTTGGTGGGGGGAGGGTTTCAAAAGGGTAAGTGATTGCCCTCTAGGGGACAAAACAGAGAGAAAAAAGCAGGACGCCTTATCGCCCCAGCCTCCAATAGTACTGCTGGCTACCACCCAGAGCCAGGGAGGAGGAGGGCGGAGGGGGTGCAGGAGACGCCAGCTAGATGCTACACTGCCTCTTGACACAGCAAACTCAGCAGGGAGCCTGGCTGGCTGTATGGGCTCAACTCGAGGCTGCACAGCCAAATGTTGCCATCTGAATGAGTGCTATTGCTTTGCTTGCATGCTTTATACTACACTACATGAGCATTAATCCACTTGGATGAGAAATCATAGCACGTGTTTGTACTTTATGATTCTGTTTCATTTATGATAAGGGCTTTTTATATATGGAAACGTTATCACAATTAAATAAATGATTTGTGTGTACGCCTGGAGCAAAACTCTCATCAATCATGGGTCCATGGGATGCTGCAGATGTGTTTTGGGTGCTCACACACTACAAACAAGACCTGTAAAGCAGAATGTACTACTGACCTATTTTCTTCATTCAAATACAGACATGGGAACAAACAGGAAAAAAATAAGGAAAAAATGTGCCAAGAGTTTGCTACTTAGACATATCCATGAAATGTATGAGGTTATACTAAAGTTAATGATACCATCGAGTCTTCCTCTAAAGCCATTACCGGCTGCTAAAATGCATCCGTCTACAGCAGGCAGGCAGTCAGGCAGGCGCACCGACGCATCCAGGCGCCTGCAACAGTGTCCAAGCGCCACCTTCAGTATCCAACCTAAGGGAGGAGAAAATAAGCAAATAATCACACAGCCTACATATTTTTCCCTCCAGACACATCTGCAAAGGGCAGCTGTCTGTCTGGAGAATAACCTCCCCTCTTACGTGTTTTTCTCCCTTCACTTTTAAAATTAGGGAATAGACCTTAGTCTTATGTGCGCTCTGGTGCGTGATGCGCATCTCAGGAGCGCATAGTGCTAACTGTGTGTTTAATATGCCTGTCTCGCCCGGCGTGTAGCCCCAGACACTGTGTACCACAAATCCCAACCTCCACTCCAATGAGAGCTCGGGAGGGGAGGAGGAATAAAAGGGTTAAGGGGAGTCTTGTATGGAGTCTGCTGGGCGGAGTGGAAGGGACGTGATTGGATGGCTGTCTGTGACGCAGTAGAAATGAAAAACCTGACAACTAGTTAAGAAGGCAGTTTGTAACTCTGGAAAAAGAGTGCAGAGCTTGAGACATACATTAACGCAGTGGACGAGGACGAACCGGCGCGAACAGAGAGAGCTGAGCCGTCTTTGGCAAAAAAAAAAAAAAAAAAGGGGGCTGATAGAGACACTGCAGCGTCCCGGACACAAAGTGACTTGAAACAGAAGGACAATGGTGCAGCACACAGACAACAGCGAGACGGACGGGAGCATGTCCAGGGAGGCTACCGATTCCGAGGAGAGTGAATTTATGGCATGCAGCCCCGTGGCGATAAACCCGGACTGGTGCAAGACAGCCACCGGTCACATCAAAAGACCCATGAATGCATTTATGGTCTGGTCCAAAATCGAGAGGAGAAAGATTATGGAGCAGTCGCCCGACATGCACAACGCGGAGATTTCCAAGCGCCTTGGGAAGAGATGGAAGATGCTCAAGGACAGCGAAAAGATCCCGTTTATCAGAGAGGCCGAGAGGCTGCGGCTAAAACACATGGCCGACTACCCAGACTACAAGTACAGACCCAAGAAAAAACCAAAGCTCGACAGTTCAAAATCATCAGCGCCGTCTCCGGAGAAGTGCGGCAAAATTGCAAAGACTCCCAGCAAGAAGTGTTCAAAGATAAAGACTAAGAGCGGCTCCAAGTCCTCTCACCACGGCTACGGGGAGGACTGCGTGTTTCCCAGCTTAAAAGTTACAAAGACTGTGAAAAGTGAGCTCACCGACGAGGACGACGACGACGAGTACGAGGAGGACTACCGGATGGGGATTAAGACAGAGGACGTGGAGCGCCTGAGGCCGTACAATGTAGCCAAAGTTCCCGCGAGCCCAACTTTGAGCTCCTCGGCCGAGTCCGAGGGCACGAGCATGTACGAAGAAGTGCGGAACAACAACAGACTCTTTTACAATATCAAAAACATTACCAAGCAGAGCACATTGCACGCTGCCTCTGTCTCACCAGCATCCTCCAGGTCGGTTTCCACATCCTCCTCCTCCTCCTCTTCCTCTTCTTCCTCCAGCAGCTCCTCTTCCGGCGAGGACGCGGACGATTTGCTCTTTGACTTTAGTTTAAATTTCGCCCCCAGCGCCCCTGGCACGGAGCTGGGCAACCCCAATTCAGGAAACCTCTCCCTGTCTCTTGTGGATAAGGACCTGGACTCGTTCAGCGAGGGCAGCCTGGGCTCTCACTTTGAATTCCCAGACTATTGCACGCCAGAACTCAGTGAGATGATTGCCGGGGACTGGCTGGAGGCGAACTTTTCCGACCTGGTCTTCACATACTGAACTGACAAAAAAAAAAAAACGTTCCTCTAGTAATAACAGAGAAGGGAGAAAGTAAATTATATATGTGTCCTGGTCAAGTTGTCCCTATGCCCTGCCTCCTGTGGGTTTTTTCCTGAAGGGTCCTGGAGGGGAGGTGGAGGACCAGGCGGCGAGGTGAGGTTTGAGGAATGAGATGCTTATGAAGCTGGTAGCAAAAAAAAAAAAAGCAAAGTCTGCAGACGTTTTTTTCTGGCAGCATGACAGGGTTTTATGGATTTTTTCCTCCCGTAGGTCTGCATTTACTGTTCAGCTTAAACGGACCACCAAAAGGGAAAAATACGTGAACTTCTATGCATCTTATCCTCTTAAAAACAAAACAAAAAAAACTGCAGGGAGCTGAAACGGACTGTGGACTGACTCAAAGCAAATCTGTGAACTGACAATTGTTCAGGATGTTACTTTACAACGGTTTATGTAATTTCTAAATGCCGCAAATGTTTGTTTGTTTTTTGTAACTGATTCAGTTTACCTCCTGGTTTGGAAAATCAAGCAGCCTAAACCTCTGCAGAATACAGGTGTGGAGGAAACATTTTGATACATAACAGACCTCATCTTTTTAAAAGAAAAAGTAAGATATTTTCAGGCATATTTTTGTACAGTTAAAAGGGAATGTTCTTACTGTGCTTTCAGTGAGTTTCAGGCACTTCTTCCCTTTATCATTTGTTTTTAGCATGCAAGGGAGTCCTGGTTTTAAGGATTAAGTTAAATTAAGACTTGCATCAAAAATGCCTTGTGATTTCAAACTAGGTTTTGTACAGTTGTAGAGCAGATTTGTTGAGTATTTGTAGACGATACAATGGCATCATGGGGAACACATACCTCAGAGCTGGAACTAGTTTCAAGATTGTATATGTACTGTAATATAGTAAAGTTAGGAGTTTATGTATATCATACTCGTGATATGTGGATGGGTCCCAATCGCAGGTGTGAAACTGGATTTTGGTATTTTTTATGGCACATACTGTTTTTCCCCCCTCTCATTTTTTTGTGCAATATATACTCTTAAGATACAGACCATCAACAATTGTAGCAAGTGATGGAAAAACAGACTTGTGCACTGTCAACATCATTTCATGTTATGATGCTGAAGCCTGTCCAGGCAGAAAAATAAACAAATCAGCTGGAACTGATACAAAACAATATAATATGGCCTCATGGTGTGATGCATACTATATAAACAGATTAATACCACAATTTGAATGTTATTTGACTCATAAGGATAATGGGCATATCTGACACCAAACAGCTTGAATCTGAAAATTAGGGAAAAGGAGTTCTGCAAAAAAAAGGGGCATAGTCTGATACAGTGGTGGTCTGGCATTAGTTTAACAAGCAAGCAAAAAAGAACATTCCATAGTCCTGTTTCATGAAATGAAACTTTATTTTAAAACTGAAGACTGCCTTCTTTTTTTAAAACATTAACCATAAACCTGTATTTTTTATTTCTTGCACTTAAAAAAAAGCAGATATTGTTTATTTTTATGTGGGTCTTCTTACATATGAAGTCTGTTTGATAAAAAGGTTTTGGAATATGACCTAATTATACGCCAAGACATTTTGTTGGAAGTTCTAGGCAGTAGTTACTTCACATTCCAAGTGTGAATCTGTCTTTGACTCATCTTTTAATAAATAAGTACCTACCACCATCGACTGTCCTTTCAGTTTGTGAATATATGTACACAAATGTGTTATTTGTTGCGTTTGAAAAGGATGTGATGACAGAATGATGCCTATTTTGTATGTAGGCGGATACTCTGAAATGGATGGGCTCAAACTAACATGTGAATTCACATTTAATAAAAAGGAAAAAAAGGAAACTTTTAAACTGCAGTGTTGAGGTGCTTTACTGTTCCTGTTCTTAAAATGTGCTGTTTTTGCTGAACTTTCTCTCTCGACACCTCCCTTAAAATGGACACTGCGGCTTTAAGAAATTGAATTGCCCGCTTGCCTGCGCTGAGCGATGTGATTGGTGGGCTTGGTGGTCCCCTTGGAGACGGTGCTGGAAACAGGAGCTGCTCCTCCTGTGTGGGAGCTCTCTGTCTGTCTGGCTTCCATTCAGAAAAGTAGCACTCTGCCCAGCGCAGAACGGCTTGAAAGCTGTGCGAACCGAGGGCTGGAAAAAACGTCTAAATGTGACATATGTCCACTCAGGGATAAACAATGACTCTTATTCCCGACAGATACTGTTTAATCTCTTAGAAATGGAGGGTCTTTTACAGAAACATAATTCACATGTGAGATTAAACTTTTCTCTAAAAGGCCAAAATCCACAACTCCCTCATGTCACTAGTTTAATGTGTGTGAGAACAGGGGTAGTAGGTCAGCGTGAATTGTATTTATGGCTTAAAATAATTATTCCAGTGGTTGTCAGTTGTTGTCCTCGAGTACTACAGCTTTTCTCTCTCATCACTTAGTGTTGATTTCTACCCTAAATAAAAGTAAATAGCTGGTAGGACACGAAGCAAGCAGGGATGTGGTACTGGATGACAAGGACTGAGAACCCCTGAAGTAGTCCAAATAAAAACATAAGTAGGAGTAAGTAGAAGTAGGAGAAAATAAAGGGTGGAAAAAAGAATGAATGGTATACCTTCCATCCAGTAATATAATCATGATACTACCTGATTGTGCACCACCAGAGCTGATTATGTTATTGTTCAGACTGAGCAACAAGGATGTTGTCATCGTCAGAACTGCGGCTACTTAATGTAAGCACTCTAATATGAAAGTTGCTTATTAGAAAAAATGAACAACAGTACAACATACATATATGATGTCATATAAAATACAATTAGTACAACAAACCATTAATTTAAAGTAGTAACATCTTAATGTTTGAGTGCCTGCTGTATGCCTCTGGAGGACAACAGATGCAGCCTCCTCTGGGGCCTGGTTAGAGAGACCCATCTTTAACAGATCATATATAAAGAACCAGAGGCCTTGGCCACTGAGAGATTTGTGTTCATTACAGCAATAGAATCTAATGATGAATATTTGCCATGCACGGCTGCACAGGTACTAGCCCCCCCATTAAGTCAGTTTGCAAATCTGTAATAAAACATTTATCCAGCTATTACTTTACCTGACCTATTGGTCAAAGTTGCTAATGGGTTCCAGGGCTATTCCCAATAGAAGCTCAACATTGATTTTGTGTTCCTCTGAAATATCTGTTCAGGGCTAATGCCACCGGTACATGTTGAAATGAAATTAGTGACCCGTTGAAATTTCCTTCTATTTCCTCCTTAAATAAATAAATGGAAATCTAGAATGCTCAGGAGACGCTGAGTGAGATAGCGTCCTCCCCGGAATCCAGAAGGGGGGATA